TCTCCCACTTTGATAAAAAAGTTTTATAAGATGAAATTAATTGGTATGCATTGACAGTGTAAAATTATTTTACACAGTCATTCAATACGAATATATTAATCTGTCATGTCATACAGTTAATTTAAAATTTATAATTTGATGTGACGAGATGTACGAGGGTGAAACTTATGATGATCAGATGAAACTTGAAAAAGCCATGAAAGATTAACCTAAAGAAGTCTAAAATTAGGTGGCATGAAGAGGGAGATAGGAAGACAACCTTTTCCAAAAATATTCTATCAAGAAGAAGACCTACAATAAAATTTCTTCTCTCATAATTTGTTTCGTTCTGGAACCAAAAATAGAGAGTGGCGGAAGCTGCAGCAGGGTGGAGCTTCCGATCTGGTAGAACGGGGTTGTACCTGCAAGATTAGTATTTCGAAGCTCATGTAAGTATGTGAAAAAGTGGAAAGTATTCAAATTGTGTTTGAAACTTGTTACCTAAGATGGTGTCATTCCCTATATATAGGGGAGAGAAATAATTACCTCACTAACTTTTAGGCGTGGAATGCAGAGGACCACTGGATGTGTCTAAGGCATAGATCATGTAGTAAGGTATGGGATAATCCTATATTAAGTAGAAGATTTTAGAAATACAATCGTGTAGTTAGTCAAGAGGCTATAACCCTGAACGAGCTATCTTAGGGTGGTCAGTCTCAGAAGAATATAGCCAGCCTAGAACAGTTGCCCCAAATATTAGGGAGTCTTCACTGAATGCGGCTGACTTTCTGAAGATTTATTTATGTCATTCTAAAATCAAAACGCTTAGAATCTGTCACATAAGTAGTGGGGGGACAAACATATTTAATGCTTTCTTGTCACTAATTCATTATTACTTCTCCTTGCTAACGCATCACTCAACCATGCAGGTTAGGGAACGATTACCCTACCTAGGGTACTTAAGTGTATTTTATCCTCGTGTAGATTAATGGGACAAGATGTTGATTACTCTTGGATTTTTTTCTCCGCTATTCAATCTGAACCATTAATCTCTACTGCCCATCCCTACAAAAGCTAAAGGATATTCTCCATTTTTTTTCTCTTTTCTATTGTTACCACATACTCGTCCATTCTAATCATATTACTCTGCTCTATTATTATTAACTTAGATATTTTCTTTCCTAATCAATTTAATGGCGGTGATTACGACAAAAGATTACTCTTGGTTCGAACTAGAGTATTTAGCCTACAAACCTGCTTTCGTCTAAGGGAAAGAAATGTCGTATGGTCCTTTGGAAATAGAGATTTCCTCCGATTGGCGTATTATACCAATTTCAACCGCAAAATTTTTTTTAACAAGTTTGAAGAATGTTATATCCCTTTTTACTCTTGGTTCGAACTAGAGTATTTCGCCTACAAACCTGCTTTCGTCTAAGGGGAAGAAATGTCGTATGGTCCTTTGGAAATAGAGATTTCCTCCGATTGGCGTATTATACCGATTTCAACCGCAAAAAAAAAAAAAATTTTTAACAAGTTTGAAGAATGTTATATCCCTTTTTACTCTTGCATTTTTTGAAAGTTGGACATTCATCTTCCATTAACCTCTTTTAGGAAAGAGGTTCTGGACCATCTTTGGGTCCCCCCCCCCTCGTAACTCCATCCTTGTGCTTGAGGTTTCGTTCGAATATTTCAATAGTTGTATAAATACTACGAAAAAATAGGTTCAACTTCTCAAGACTTCTTTTTCGATCTTTTTAAATATGTCCTACCTCAAAGGACGTTTGTAATCACGAGCTTGTTACCCTGCGTCGTGCAAACTTTAAATTTTCTTATTCCTAGTGTTCTCTTTGAAACTTTTTTGTAGGATTGCTCCTCTTCTTTTGTATAAAAAAAAATAATACATAAATAAATTATTTATTAAAAAAATAGTTTATCGTCTTTTTTTTTTTGAATCAAAAGAAGAATATATTAATTCAAAAATAGTTAGTACAAAATTAGGTGATCCAAGAGGATCCAACCCACCAAAAAGACGCAACTTACATCATATAACTAACAAGATGCTTTCTAATTTTAAGATTTTGCCACCCTCTACAGATCACGTTATCTACAATATTAGTATCCATGGTTGTATTATCTACACTGTTTCCAAAAGTAATACTATTACGATAACCCCGGATGCTTTGGATGGTTTCAGCCACTAACATTTTCAAAACATCCACTTTCCATCCTTTTTCTTTTGTCATGTTACTGATCCAAATCAGCTCTACCTCCCATGGTTGAGGTTCATGATATATGTTAAACCATTGGAGCACTTTCTTCCATATGTGTCTTGTCCCTTGACAGCAGAAAAACAGATGATTCATCGTCTCTTCCTCGGTTTGACATAAATTGCATTCGCTGTCTTGAATCATACCAAAACGTTTTAACCTATCCTTGGTTGCAAGTTTCCCATGACATGCTTGCCATAAACAAAACACTGCTCTCAGCCGGCTCTTATTGGATCTTATCAAGTTTCTCCAAGGCACCCTTGTGCCATCATCAATCAACACCTTGTAAAATACCGACACCTTAAACTTTTGAGTGTTCAGAAGCTGGTCCCATTCATTCCGTATTAAATCCACGGTATCTCTTTGTTTCAAAATACTACGTATGATCCAAGAGTTGTGAGTATTGGTTGCATAATTCATCACATATTTTCTCTTTAGGTAATGAATATGGACCCATTTCACCTATAGGGTATCAGTTTTGCTGCAAAGATTCCATAAACATTTCAAGAGTAGAACACTGTTCCAAACCTGTAGATTTAACAGGTTCATCCCACCTTGAGCAGCAGGGCAGCAAGTCTGTTTCCATGCCACAAGACACTTTCTGCTCACCGTATCCTTACCAGTCCAGATGAAACTGCGACAGATGGAGTCTATCTTCCTAATCACAAATTTGGGCATGGGAAGACAATGGAGCCAATATTGTACCATAGCAACAACTATACTTTTCACCAATTGAATTCTTCCGGCATAGCTTAGAAGTTTATGGTCTTATTAATACAACTCAATTTATAATTGTGCAATAACATTGATTGTGCGGGGAATTCTTACTCGTATAAATCTACTTATTTATTTTTTAGAGATAAAATTCAATCATTAAATTAATGAAAAAATTATTTTAAAGAAAAATTAGCAAAATAATTGTATAAAACCGAGAAGTGAGGCGCATGAATAAAGGGCGATTACCAAACTACTAGTAATGGAAAAGACACGTGAATTTGTTGGAAATGACATGCCAAATGTAAAACACAGCTTCACAACAACCAAACCAAAGAATATGGACAAATTCCTCTTACAAAACTATTCTCTTCCTAATTGTTTCATTCATTTGCAACCAAACAATAATATAATATCTTTCATAAAATATACAATGGATATATGTGCTACAAATTTTAAAAAATAGATTTTATTTGTACTTTTAAAAATGTTTTTAATAAAAAGTTTTTAAAAAAAGTTATTGTATAGTCATTTTTCCATAAACTAAAAAATGATTTTAAATAACACAACTTTTTTTATTAAATATTAAAATATGGTCAAAATTACATTTTAAAAATATGTCTAAGAAATTGTTTTTATTAAAAGTTATTAAAAAGAAATTCAAGCAAAGAAACCTTGTATTTCAACAAGGAAGAAGATACAAGAAGGGGGTCTTACCAAACCCTCTCAAGTTATTAAAAATATTTAATTTAATGATATTTAAAAATAATAAAAAAGTCATAAAAAATGATAAAAATACTTAAAATAAAATTTTACAAAAAAATAGTTAAACTTTTTTATTAAAATTTTTATGTAAAAAGTTTATAGGATGATCTTTTAAAAATATATAACATTAGAAACAATTATTTTTAAAAATGCCAAAATAATATCTCTTTCAAATTTATTAATTTCAAGTTCATTCATTCATTAAAAAAAAACACTCAAACTTTTGAGAATGAGATTTACTTACCATCTATAAAATATTAGTACAACTTTAAGATTACATGAATTTAATAAAATTACAGCATTTATATTTTATTAGAATAAGAAAATGTTTTTTAAAATAATTTTTATAGTATTACATATTTTGTTTAAAAAATTAGGAATATTATTTAAGAAAATTTCAAATAAAAAATTGATTTAAATAGTTTTTTTTAAATGTTATTTTGAATATTTTGTTAATTAATCATAACTATTTTTGAATATCAAGTTTTCAGAAAATTATTTAAATTTAAAGCTATATTAATTAAATAAGTTTTTATAAAAATCATTTTTGATATACACATTTTTAAAAAATCGATTTTAATTATGTTTTAAATTTCAATAAACTATATTTATATTACTAGATTTCAAAATTAATATTTTAATTTATAAAAAATTGAATTTAATTTTAGTAAAATATTTTAAAGCTAAAACAAACCAATCTAGAATTTAACTATTACCTAGCAAAACTCACCATACAATTCTTTCAATCTTATCCTGATTCCAAAGCATTTAGTTTTGAAACTTTGTTAAACTCAGCCCACAGCAAAATTATAAACTAAAAAACCATTATTTAAAATTATTAAAATTTTGGTTATTATTTCCCAAAAAAATATCAAAATTATTTATTAAATACATTATTTCAAAATCTTATTAATTTAACTTAATTCTTAACCCTTAAGAAATAGCCTCTTAGTGAAAACTTGGGAATTTGAGAGTGCCTTTCTCTGATAGTTTCAAGATCAAATTAACCAATCTATTAAATTAATGAAAGAATTATTATTGAAAAAATTATAAAAAATATATATATCAAAAAAGGAAGAAAAAAAACCAAAGCAAAGCATGTGCTATAAATATGCAAATGGGTTCATAAGCTTATCCTTCAAATCAATTCTCAAATAATAAGTTAACACCATGAAGACAAAATTCACTTCTTTCAATTTTCCAACTTTCCATTGAATCCAAAGTTTCAATCTTTTCTTCTCTCATTTCTGATTCATTTTCCATCTTTTTTGAGCCATGGCTGCAAAGAAAGCCATTGAAACATTCTCAAAAAGATTGATTGAAGATGTGCATAAATGGGGTTGTTTCAAACAAACTGGTGTGAGTCTAAGGTACATGATGGAGTTTGGTTCAAATCCTAGTGACAAGAATTTGCTGATTTCTGCACAGTTTCTTCATAAGGAGCTTGCCATTAGGATTGCTAGAAGAGCTATTGAACTTGAAAATCTTCCTTGTGGTTTGTCACATAAACCTGCTATTTTGAAGGTAAACTCTTAACCTTTTCATCATTGCTATATGGAAAGAAATCTTGGGTTTCTTTTTTCTTGATCTTATCCGTTTCTTGTGAGTTTCAGTTATTTGTAGTGTTATTTTGTTTATTTTAGTGTTTTGGACTTTGTAACACCGAAACCTTTGAAAAAAATGTGTCTGAAACTTATAACAACACTAGTAATTATGTTAATTTATTATTTTTTGAAATTATTTTCGGTATTGCCGTGTTAGACGTGTCAGTGACGGTTTCTGATGTCTCCTCTACGTAACTTTTGGATGTTCTTGCAAGTTTCAATTTTGTATGGATGTGTCTTGCATTATTTTGTTTATTTTAGTATTTGTGATGATAATTAAAAAAGTGTTTTGAGGATTACTTGATTAGCATTAAGATATAATAATGTAGATTATTGCTTTAGGTTTCTGGTTTATAATATTAGTGGATAATGATCATGGCATGTTAAACCACATTTGGAATTGGCTTGTTTTCTAAGCATGTGAAGTTCTGTTTTGTTGTGTACGATGTTTATTCTTTAAGGATTATAATACTTTAATAGAACATTTTTAAAGAGAGGGCTTAATATATAAGCATGTGAAGTTCTTGCTGATATTCAGTGATTCTTGATGATAGCAGATACTATAACTCCTTTAGGTAATAGTCAGAGCCGTCTCAAATTTTTAGAGACTCTGTGGATAATAGGGGTTTGCGGTAATAGTAACAGTTGCACAGCGATTTTTAATATTGCAGAGAATTGCTGTCAAAATGCGTGTTTTGCAGTTTCGACAGCATTAAAAATCTTGCCGCGGCTCATTTCACGGTCGCAGATCTTTATTTGAAACTTTGTTTATGATGCTCTTCGATTGATTCAGATTGTGATTTATGGATATTTAGCAACAAAATTACTCATGTAAAGTTGACATTTTGTAAATGTTTATTGAATTTTTGTGCTACATTTTTATGATTTTAGGTTAGGGATTGGTATTGGGATTCCTTTCGCGATATTCGATCCTTCTCCGAGATCAAGAATATGAATGATGAAAAAGAGTTCACGGAAGTGATAAAGGCCATAAAAGTGAGACACAACAATGTGGTGCCTACAATGGCCTTAGGTGTTCAGCAATTGAAGAAAGATTTAAATCCAAAGATTTATAACGACGATATCGTCGAGATTCATCAGTTCCTTGATCGTTTTTACATGTCGCGAATTGGAATCCGAATGCTTATAGGTTGGTTTCGAAAATACTCTACATGCCTTCTACAAGACTAAGCCGATTATACACTCTTACCTTATAATGCATGTTTTCCTTTTCGTTGGATTTAGGGCAGCATGTCGAGTTGCACAATCCTCATCCTCATCCTCATGTCGTTGGTTATATAGACACAAGAATGTCTCCTGTGGAAGTAGCGAGGAATGCTAGTGACGATGCACGCGCTTTATGTTGTCGTCAATATGGAAGTGCTCCTGATGTTCATATTTACGGCGATCCTGATTTTACTTTTCCGTGAGTTACATACATTTTACTTCCATGAATTCATCTGTTCTATTTTTTTAAAAATAACGGTCCGTTTTTGCAACAGGTATGTTCCAGCTCACTTGCATCTTATGGTGTTCGAGTTGGTTAAGAACTCGCTGCGTGCCGTCGAAGAGCGTTACATGAATTCCGACAAAGTTTCACCTCCCATAAGAATAATAGTTGCTGATGGGTTAGAGGATGTTACCATAAAGGTAACTTTTGTTAACTTATATGATGATTGATGATGCAGTTGTTCTTTTTGAAATTCTTTGTTAAAGCATTTCGTTGAAATGGCATTGCAGATCTCGGACGAGGGAGGTGGAATACCGAGAAGCGGTCTGCGAAAGATTTTTACATATCTGTATAGTACTGCTAGAAATCCATTGGATGAGCATACAGATCTTGGAGTAGGTGATAATGTCACAATGGCTGGATATGGATTCGGTCTTCCTATTAGTCGGCTGTATGCTCGGTATTTTGGCGGCGATCTTCAAATTATCTCTATGGAAGGATATGGTAAATAGACTTTTCACTTCATAACTATAGATTTCCTCCAATAAATTTTCTTCTGTATCAAGTTTTATCAGAGGCTCTGTGTAGATTAACCAAATGTTAAGTATGGCAAATTAATTACGGATTCTATTTTGTCATGGTTTAACTGTGATAAATATTTTATGAGATCTTTTTAAATTATGGTTTAAACGTGTTAAGTTTTAGACTCTGTGCCTTCAAAGACGGTCTTGAGCTTTATCAACTGTGGAATTGTAAAAATAAAACGATTTGTATTAAATAGTGTATCGCAGAACAATATCGATTTGTTCAAATTCAACAAGTATTCTGATATGGTGATTGGTTGATTTGTTTTGTAGGGACTGATGCATATCTACATCTATCTCGTTTGGGAGATTCACAAGAACCTTTGCCTTGAAAGCATGTAGTTTACTTTTCAGTCACACACAAGAATTGTGGTATGCAACATTAAAGAAACATTGTTGAAACACAAAAAGAAAAGTAAATGTGAAGTCAATTTTTTCATATTATAATAACTAGAGAAATTGGTTGTAAATATTCCATACATAAGGTTGTTTATTATGGTAATGATCCTTTGTTGGCCTTTGAATCAAAGGTTTGAGAAATTGTCCCTTTGTTATTGCTTAGAATGAATAAGGAGATTCATGTGTTTGGAGGGTCATTTTTGTGTGGTCCTTGAAAATTCTAATCCAAACCATTGGTCACTATTGAAGTGATATAATGAGAGGGCTTAAATTTCATACTCCACCTATTTTTTATTATATTTCATTTTTCCATTTTACCGATTGTTAAAAAAATGTAACTAATTTATGTAAAAATATAAAAATATAAAATATTTTGTAAAACTATTATTTATGAATGATATGAGGATTTCTTTTTTAATGATAAAATAATAAGTACTTTAGAGTATAATAAAAGAAAAGTTGTATTATTGGTTCTTTAATATTATAAATCGACTATGATCTAATTTTTTTTCTTTTAAAATAATAAAGGGAATGTTTAATTACACAAGAATAGTCAAAATTAGATAAAAAGATATGCAAGTTAAAATAGTTTTTGTTAATATGGTTGTCAAAGAATATTACTTCTTTTATTAATATGGTTGTCAAAATTCTTAAAGAATACTTACTCTTTAGAAGACATTTAACGCTGATTTAAAACCGCAGCTAAATAGTTAAAATTGGAGGAAAAAGTGATTAAAATCTCTCACGGTAGACAGCACTGTAGTGAATAAGCCTCGTAGGGTTTTGTTTTTTTCGTTATTTTTTAATTGTAATTGTTTTTTAGTTTAATTTTAATGGTAACTTTTAATAAATATTTTCTAAATTTATTCTTTTTAAATAAATATTAATAAACATTAAGTTTATTATTAAATTTATAAATATTTTAATAAATATTTTAATTACCTATTAAATACATTAAGTTTATTATTTAATTTATAAATATTTTAATTATTCATTAATTCAAATTTGTCAGTAAATTATGTTGTTTGTTTTTGCATAATGAATTAAAATTTAAATAACCTTAGAATAAAATAGAATTGTAAAAAAATTAAAATATATTAATTTACAATATAATGAAAATTACAACGACAAAAAAAAACTAATGGCCGGCTCTATCCAAGCGACCACCGGTGCCACACTGTGGAGGATGCGGGTTGCGACGAGGTCTACGACGAGGTTGTTGTGGTGTGTCGGGCCGTTGTGTGTTGAGTTGTGGAGGAGGATGTTGTTGGGACGGCCCCGACGTATCAGATAGATTTTGCATCATTTGACCCCAATAGCCGGGAGGTCCACTGTCAATGGCGTTGCCGTAGTCAAGCCCAATGCCCATGTTTTCAAAGGATTGCCGGGGAGGTTGGGTGGAGTATGGACGATATGGTTGTCCGAATGTGTACATGGAATTGGGTTGGTCTAGGTGTGTTGGTTGTTGTGGGGTGTGATAGTCAAATAATGGATTGTTGGAGGGGTAGTTGGATGGGTAGTCGATGGGGTAGTTGGAGGGGGTAGGGTCAAAAGACGTATCAGGGCTATAGGTGAAGGGGATAGGCTCAAAAGACGTATCAGGGCTATAATGGTATGGTGGTTGAGGCTGAGACTGGGTGGGTGGCATGTAAGGATGTTTTTGTTGATAGGGGATATTTGTTGGCATGTATGGGTTTTCGTAAGGCCGATTTTGGGCATTGAACTGTTGTTGTGTGTTTGACGAAGAATCGCGTTCCCTTGGGTCGGCCAAATAGGTTGGCTAGGACAGGAAAGGCTGAGATGTCGTGACAGACCTAAACCAAGTCATATATTGAAGACTTGGCCTAGCCCCATGCAAAACACGGTCGGTTAAGACGTGCTGCCTTCTTCTTTTCCAATGTATACGCAACTCCTTCGCAAACTCCTTCCAATCACTAACACTCCACTGTGCATCCACCCGCTTTTGATGCCACTGCCCCAAGTCTACCGGAGCATCTGGAATATCCTGATGCATCCCAAATTGTAGTTTCACCCAGTCACTTTGGTGCATCTACACCGTAGTGAACCTAATTATGGGTGTCCTTGATGTCCACACAGCGGCATCATCGGAGTTGGGCTGGTGGTCGAGACCCTCGTACGGCATCCAGACAAACTACAATAAAGTTGGACAATTAAGTTAGACAGAGTTTGAGAGGTTTATGCATATACATTAAAAAAATTAATGGTAAATAACTTACATCATATGGCCCAAGGTGGTCGATGAGGTTGCGGTATTGAATTATAGAGTGCCTTGGACATCTCTGATAATTCATCCCTGGAACAGACCACCTAAAAAAAATAAACACATCTCAGAAATTATTAACTTAAAAAGAATATGTAGTTGCTAAATAATCTTGAAAAGATACTTACTTGTTGGCGTACGGGAATGTAAAAGAATTACGGTTTATTGGAGCAAGCATTGGCATCCTAGACCAACCCTAAGCTTGTAGAAGAAGTACAACCATAAAAAGTACAAGATTTTTTTTTTTGAAGTTTTACAAAGTGCGCTATATAGATGGGCGAGGACAGCTGATCCCCAACTATATTCGCACACTTTGTTAATATTCCCCAATAATGGTAAGTACATAGTATGGACGGTATTTCCAGTGCCCTCTGGAAATAAAAAGTGCCCGAATAAAAGCATAATATAGCACCGAGTTTTGAGTATTTTCTCATACTCGATGCTATCATTAGTTAAGACAATATGGTTGTATTGTTCTCTAAGGTATTTTAAATTAATTCTCTGACCCCTCGGGCGGCCCTCGCTTTCCGCATGAGGTCCGTCCGTACAAAGAGGGGCGACCAATAAATCTTTGCAAAGTCGGTCAGGGACACCAACTTTTCTGTTGACGGCCTTACCATCAATGTGTAGGCCGAGCAACATGTAAACGTCCTGAAGAGTCACAGTACACTCACCAAAAGGTAGGTGAAATGTATGTGTCTCCGGTCTCCAGCGTTCTAACAACGCTAGAATAAATTTCATGTCAAGGGAGTAAGATTTGATTTCGATCAAATCACCAAACCCACAATGAGTAAGGTAGTCCGTAATGAGCAGGTTGTGTGGTATGTAATCATGCACACGACATCGAAACCTTGATACATCCTGCAGAATAATTAATGTTACGTTAGAGAAGAAGTGAAATTACTAACGTTTTGTTAGACAAAATTGTAAACATAGACAAGAACAAAAGACTTATAAAATCGGCGATATTTTCAGTCGTCCCTCTGTGAGAGTCACCCATGGTGAGTAAAGACATTGTCGTTTGGGATGTTGAGATTTAGAGATGTTGAGTTTGAGAGTTGAGAGTTTGAGAGTTTGAGAGTTGAGAGTTGAGGGTTGAGAGTAGGAGAGTAGGAGAGTTTAAGTGTGAGTAGAATTTGTTGGGTAAAGACCCTATATTTATATTCCATGAGTGGATGTGTTGTAAATGCATGCTGGACAAGTGGCCTGATGCATGTGTTGTGTAAATGCATGTTGGACTAGTCTCATCAAGCATGCTGGATGCATGGTCACATGTGAATCACAGAGATTCCTGCATTGTCCCGTCTTATCAAGTCCTGATGTATGCAGAAAGAGAGTCTCGTAGGCCTGCATGGTCAATGTAGGCATGCAGGATCACATGTGATTTTTTCATATTATGTTTTTTTCTTAATTAAAAATATATTGTTTTTTTTATGGATGATAGGTTATACAAAATGTAGATTTTTTCATAAGTGAAAAACAGATGCAGATTCCAAAGGCTTTGATGGTTGTAAACGCATGCGTGACAAGTGTCCGGATGCTTGTCTTTCATTTATGCAGTATACGAATCCAAATAAATGTAATTTATGCAGCTTGCAGGATCACATGTGAAAAGCAGATTCCTTCATTGTCCTGTCTAATCAAGCAGGCTGCATGTCATTGATTGCAAATTAAGGCTTTGTGTTTCACATGTTTCTGTCGTTGATTTTTTAGGTTGATTTTTTTATTAAACGTAGTGTGATTTTTTCATATTATGTTTTTTTTTCTTAATTAAAAACATATTGTTTTTTTTATGGATGATAGGTTATACAAGTTGTAGATTTTTTTCATAAGTGAAAAACAGATGCAGGTTCCCGTCTCATCAAGTCCTGATGCATGTCATTGATTCCAAAGGCTTTGATGGTTGTAAACGCATGCGTGACTAGTGTCCTTATGCTTGTCTTTTATTTATGCAGTATACAAATCCAAATAAACGTAATTTATGCAACATGCAGGGTCAAATGTAATTTTCAAGATTTTTAATTGATAGAAGGTCTAACTTTTTACACCTTAAGTCAAGAATAGAAAAAAAACTTCAATGTGGTCCAGTTGAGCAAATAATATACAAAAACCCAGTGTTTTTTGACGACCATGGCGAATGTAAAATTTTCCCTTTAAAATTGCGAGACGATGAAGATGTGCGTAACATGTTCCGGACTCACGAGTATTCTGGTTTCTCAGACATCGTGTTATATGTTACGTTACAACAACAACAACTGTCTCAGCAATTTGATTCTTCTCAAGTTTTTTGCGATTCTGACGATGAACACGCTGAAGTTAATGTTGTTGACGAAGAAGAAGAAGCAACTGAAGTCATTATTGACGATATGGTGACAACCAGGACGACGGGGTTCCACCCGGCAATGTTTATTGTCCACCTCAACACATGACAACTCTCGATTTGGGTGATGATGAACCCTCGACGGATGTTTTCTACAATCCTAACTACGCAACAAAAGGGCAACTAAAGGAGGGTGACGATTTTCGTACCAAAGAAGACTGTGTCCAGGCAATCAAATGGTTTCACATGGGGTTGTCAGCCGATTATTGAGTCGATCGGACAAATCCGACGCGGTATACGATCTATTGTCGTAACGAGGAGTGCCCCTTCCG